CGTAGGGCAAGTGAGTTTTTGTCATGTTGCGGCGTTCGTCCGTCCGTCCGTCCGTCGTGGTTCGTCAACTTTTCCTTTAAACGACTTCTTCTGAAGAAAGGAAAGGCCTGGATTCATGATATTTGGCTGAAAGCATTGTTGGTAAGAGCCCAACAAAGTTTGAGAATGAAAATGACCTTGACCTACTTTCAAGGTCACAGGGGTCAAATGTGTCAAAAACTTCAAACGACTTCTTCTAAAAAACTGAAAGGTACAGAATCTTAATATTTGGCTGGTAGCTTTCTGTGAAAGAGCCCGACAAACTTTACGAATGCAAGTGACCTTGACCTCATTTCAAGGTCACAAGAAATAGGTATGTCAAACGCTTCAAACGACTTCTTCTGAAGACCTGAAAGGTATAGAATCTTCATGTTTGGCTGAATGCTTTTTTTGGTGGAGCCCGACAATGTTAGAGAACAAAAATGACCTTGATCTACTTTCAAGATCATATGGGTCAAATATGTCAAACACATCAGACGACTTCTTCTGAATAATGGACAGGCCTAGAGTCATGATATTTGGCTTAAAGATTCATTCGTAAGAGCCCGACAAAGTCTACGAGTGAAAATTACCTTGACTTTCTATCAAGGTCCTAGGGGTCAAATATGTCAAACACTTCAAACGACTTCTTCTGAAGAAGTGAAAGGCATAGAATCATAATATTTGGCTTGTGGCTTCTTGGGATAGAGCTCATCAGAGTCTGCGAATGAAAATGACCTCAACCTCCTTTAAACGTCAACAACACTTCAAACGACTTTTTCTGAATAGCTAAAACGCATGGTTTTATAAGATTCAGCTGGTAAAGACAACAAAGTTTGAGAAGGAAAATGACCTCGAGCTACTTACAAGGTTACAGGGACAAATTTGTCAAACACTTCAAACAACCTCTTCTGAAGAACAGAAAAGCATAGAATCATATAATAATATTTGGCAGGTAGCTTCAACGGATTTAAACGACAAAGTTTGCGTGCGAAAACATTGTAGAACAGTATAATATTAATGAGAAGAATTTTCTATGACTGCTTGAATATCCAGGTAAGCGATACAGGCCCTCTGGGCCTCGTCCCTGTAGGTACGGCATACGAATTGTACCTGCTTTCCCTATTTTATGATCGTAAGAGGCGACTACATTTGGGATCTTATCTTTTCTCTTCTTTCTAAACAACTTTTTTCTTACTTATGTCTCTCTTGACAACGCTTCACGTTTGGCCTTTAGTTGAGCGTTCGCCCCTATGAAGAAGGCTTTGGTTCAGTCCCCTGGCCGAGACATACCAAAGTTTGTAAAAATGGTAGTTTTTACTCCTGCTTAACGCTCAGCAATTTGGGAGTTGGACGACTGGGTAGGCCGATGTCAGTATAGTGTGACCGGTTGGGGTGTCCTGCTGAGTGTCTTTGGCAGTATGTTTCAGTGAAGTAGTACTATAAAGTCGGCATTAGTTCCGCGCTATCACAAGGAGACAAACACGAACATATTGCAGCCTCCCAAAACACACACGCATACATTATATGCATGCATCCTGCACACAGAGGAGGCCGTCCTTAAATAACCAAAGCTGTTAGTAGGACGTTAAACAATAGTAAACCAAACCAAACCAAACCTCTGGGCCTCTTGTCTAGTATCCAAAGAGTTACTATCAGATAAAATCAGTTCATTCGTTTCCCAAAACAAACTCTTCAGTTTAAGGAATTCAAAAAAGGTTAAGGCTTATGGAAACTTAACAACTCATTACTCCATCACTTAGCAATATATAGACTTAGTAAAAACTGTCATCTTGGATACCCAAAAAAACAGCACTTTTTACCTGTTTAAGATCATGAACATATAGACCAAAATTTGGATGTCAACTCGCAGTTAACTATTCATGATTAATTATTTTAAATGTCCTTTAAATGAATATCAGAGGTAAGAGTATATCTCAGTCTTCTTATAGAAAAACCCCCCAAAGAAATGTGAGAGAAAATTAACTAAAACATATTATACAGAACTCTGAAAATGAAGATATTTTGAATAAAGATGAGAAAGAAACTAAGAAAGGGGAATTAGAACAAATCAGAATACTTATAATGAAAGGTAGTGTAGGGAAAGCAAGAGCACAGTTGATAGAAGAAGGGAAAAAAACGACAAGTTACTTTTTGGGTTTTGAAAATCGAAATTTTACTTCCAAAATAATTCCCAAAATTCAGACGGATGAAGGATCCATTGAAATAAAGTCATTTTATGAAAATCTGTATGAAGAAAACGGCAATATAGCATATATTAGTTTAGAAGATTTAAAAAAAAAATTGACAACATTCCCAAACTTACTGTTGCATAAGCCCAAAATTTAGAAGGTTTAATCTCACTTGAAGAAGCTAGTAAATTTCTGACAAAAATGAAGAACTATAAAAGTCCGGAATCAGATAGTCTTGCTGTAGAGTTTTGTTTTTAAATTTTCTGCAATCAATTAGGAAATTTTGTTGTTAGGTCTTTAAATTATGGATATCTACATGGCGAGTTATCAGTTAGTCGGCGACAATCTATAGTCACCTGACTACCCAAAGGGGATAAATCTAGTAGACACGATCTAAAAACAACTGGCGCCCAATTTCCTTACCAAATATGACATAAAATAGTATCTGGGGTTATTTCTAATAGATTTAAGTCAGTGTTAGACAAACCAATTAATAGGGATCAAACTGGATTTTTTTTTATCAGGACGTTACATTGGGGAAACACAAGGTTACTGTATGATTTTATGCAATTCACAGAAGAAAATGATATACCAGGTGTGATTTTGATGATAGACCTTGAAAAAGCCTTCGACTCGGTATCTTGGAAATTTATTGAAAATGTTTTGATTTATTTTTGATTTAGAAATGATATTCTTTCCTGGATTAAAACTTTACATAGGAATGCATCAGCTTCAATTAATATGGGGGAAATCTATCTACAATTCTCGACATAACAAGTACAATGTAGCTGTAGCAGGGCGTTTCAATCGCTCAGTATTTAGTTAATTTTTCATTGTCATACGGTTACATCAATTGCTTTGAGGTTCCTTCGCAACAAATTGGACCATATTTGCTCATTATTGGTCCAAAACACAAGTCTTTTGGAATTGGTTAAAGTTTTAGGGCAAGTTCTACAGGTTACAGTTTTAGGGCAAGTTCTAGTTCTTTGGAAACTAATGGGCAGATTTCAACCAAATTTGGCAGGAAGCATTTTTAGGGGAAGGGGGTTCAAGATTGTACAAATAAAGTCCCTGACCCCCCAGGGGACAGATGGGCGGACCCAAAGGGGTTAATTTAACGGTATGACGGTATGACTTTTGAGGGATAAGGGGTTAAATAACTTTATCTTTTTTTCTACAATGTTTGAAGAAGAACTTGAAACTTTACACATGGTAGATTTATGTATGGGGAAGTGCACCAAACATTCAGAATTTTGACGATCGGAAATCTGAGCAGAGCCTGCCATTTTCTCTAACTTTTGTGACCTCGACGCTGATTGACTTCTAAATTTAACGGACAAATCAGCGCCGAGGTCACAAAAGTTAGAGAAAATGGCAGGCTCTGTTCAGATTTCCGATCGTCAGCCTGACCATCTTGAAAACTTGACTCGGGTGTCCGACATAATAATGTAAGGCCATGAACTATCATACAAGTAAGTTTGTACCGACATTGAATAGCGGACATGCCGTGTGTTTTGCACTACCCACTGGGGATTTAGCGTGTCAGCCCGTGGACAGCACAGTGTCCGACCAACTGAAATTCGGCCATTTTTCGATGTTTCAGGAAGACTACCGAACATTTTACTCCATTATATATAGCAAATCATACATCAAATTAAAGAAAAATATTTTTCTGTCGATCTTGACTGCTCCCGGCATCATTCTATGAACGGTTATGACAAAATCGCATGTTTTCTTGAACAGGGTAATTTTACACGGGGGGACAGAATTCGCAACTTTTAATTATATTATTAGTGTATTGACAGAGGAGGCTAGTACCTGTGGTTTATCTGTAGCTGTTTAACGAGATTTTGTGGAAATATCTTCCCATGGGATATCTGAATATTTCTTCCTGGACTTATACGGCTATTGAACTGATTCGAAGAAAACCTCCATGACAAAATTCATAAGTAATATCTTTTGATTGAATATGATCAGCATCCATGAATATTTACTCAAGCAACATGTTACTATTTCATTTAAAATCATTTGATTGGATTACAAAACATGATATTGCAATGTGCATTTGTTAAAATATTATACTTTAATTGTCCTCGTTGTAGGGAAACACGCCTTTGTTTCCCATTGATTATTCATATCACGGAGAAAGAAACATGGACATTAAATGCTCTGTTATAACTGATTAAAACACCCAAGCACAGATGATCAGATGGACGCCTCATTGTTGTCGTCTGCTTCAGTCAATCGGAACTCGGTCGTGTTTTAATATAGAGGTGAAATTTGACCGAGAAACTTTAGCGTGTGAGAACGGCATGACGTAATCCAATCAGACACGGGTTTTTTTTATAGATGACGTATAAAAAATAAAAAAAAAACATCAGTATAAATGTCAGCTCCTTCATTTGTATCATTCTGAATCCCCTTTAGACCTACCTAAATATGTTTCAAAACAAATATGGTTGATATCTACGATCTCATTGTTTCAGATAAGAAGTCCTTAAAGGCAATATATGATTGTCAACTTTACCATCTTTGGCCCCGCCCATTTGCAGCTTTCGGGGCAGTACCTCCATTTGTACAATTTTGAATCCCCATCCCTAAAGAATGATGTTTGATTTCCATTTACTATTTGCTATTATAGTTACAGAGGAGATGTCGTTTAAAGCAGTATGGCCATGTTACCGTTGTAAGCTGTCACTCTCTAATATCACGCTGTTGACCCAGCATATGGCTGTCCTTCACTTACATAAACTATAGAATATTATTCTCACATTTTTAGCGCTACATTTCTAAAGTTCAGTCTTGACATTGTTCTTGATTTTGTTCGGTATATCATGTAGCAGGAACTTCATTCTCCTCTCGTATAAGTTTTGGCCTGGGACTGGCTGGGTATTCAACTCTAAATAGTCTCGGTCGTTAGAACTGAACGCCTTCCATGGGGCCAGAGCTTTTCCGTTAGGATTCCTGTGTAAAATAAAAGATTTTTTCAATACTCATAAAATCAAAAATAAAATCGTTCAACAAACACGGAAAAATTAAAACACCTTAACCCAACTGTGTAAGTGTTACATGTAGACATAGAAATATCCGGAAAGATCAACATGTATCAATAATGGCGATGTATTGGTGGCTCCCGCAATACACTGCCGTAAATATTAGACAATTCTTTCAAAAACTTTCAAAAGACATTTCCGTTGTTGCACTGAGCCATAGAATTGAGAAAATTACTTTTAATACAAGTTCAGTGGCTGGTGTACTGCACTTATGTGTTATAATCAGAAGCATAGGTGAAATGATTTATCGTAATAACTGTGTATAAACAACAACAAAGCTACTTACCCTGTTTTAGCAAAGTTTGTCCAATAAGTGACGAGAACGTCGGTAAATGCCCTTCCTTCGTCAGTAGACAAGCATTCATCCATTCCGTTGTTGCCTTTCGGGCCAAACATATACAGCAGTTCGGCTGCATGCGTTGCACCTTCCATCCACGGATAGACAGGAAAAAGATAGGTAAAATTCAATGTCTTTGTATATATGTAGTGATATGTGTTTGGAGATGTCTTATCCTTTGCATGGAAGTCAAGAAGTTGTACTGTAGGCGAAACAAACCATGCATCCGCAATCAAATTAACGATATTTCTTGATTGTTGCTTTATGTTGTCATCAGAATATTCCTTGCAAAATAAATCGGATACGATTGTTTCGTCCTTGAACATCTCCAAGGCTAATGTTGGGGCAACACTGTTACAGAAAACAGAAGTAGGTATACCCTCAGTAAGATTGAATCCCATAGGTTCTTGTAACATTCCCAAAAATAATGGCATTATCGATCCTTCGTTGTTTGTTGTACCTGCAAGCATGTCCAACGATCTAAAATTAATGGATTCCTCCGACCTAGGATCATTCAAAATGTCGAAAGGTGTCCTCCGAAGTAGTTCTCCGTCAAAAGAAGGCCAGATGACAAATGAAAGAGTAAATTTGCCAAAATATTTAGTTCCCGGATCTGACTGGGCTTTCAACAATTCGTCAGATGTTTTTTTCTTGAGACAATTTACAAGAACGTTGTTGTCGACATCTAAGTCTTCGTCAATTATACATCCCACGAATTTTCCTGTAGCTTTGACAATTCTTGCAGGATTTGATGCTACACTCATTAATCCAATAGCAGATCCGCTTTGGGGAATAATCCGTTTAAATAGACCAGAAGTACTCGGTATCACAGCCAGGTATGATATAGCGAAGCCGCCGGCAGATTCACCGAAAAGAGTCACCGATTCCGGATTGCCTCCAAATGATGCAATGTTCTTGTTTACCCACTTCAGGGCTTCAATCATGTCCCAAAGTCCAAAATTACTAGGAAGTGCAGCATCCTCTGTGTTAAGGAAGCCAAATATTCCTAGACGGTAGTTTATGGTTACCACTATGACGTCTTTCAGGGCAAGGAATGACGCGTCATAACCCCAACCATTTCCCGCAACAAACGCTCCACCATGAATCCAAAACATGACAGGTTTTTTAACTTCAGTCGAAACAGCTCCAGATACATAAACATTTAGTTGTAAACAGTCCTCACTTATTTCAGTATTTTCTGCCTGTTTCCACATGTCTGGAAACAGGGATATATTCTGCATACAGGAAGGACCAAAGACAGTTCCGTCAAGGGTTTCAGTCCAAGGTTCAACGGGAAGTGTTTTCTGGAATCTGAGGTTGCCAACAGGGGGTTTAGCGTATGGAATATTCCGAAACTGCACGATATCCTTTCCGAGAGCGGGAACGACTACGCCCTTGATCGGACCAGAAGGCGTATTGATTGTCGGGAAGGACAGGCATGACGTGCCCGCTATCATGGCGAACAGCAACCAAGCATAAAGGATGTACAGTCTCATGTTTTGCAATCCTAAAAAAAAAAAATGATTTAACTTTAAATAGGTTAGTCGTGTATGTGACTGAAAGTTGTCCAAATGTTTACAAAAGGTTCAATGACCAAAAACATGGTATGTCAGTAGGATTTAAGTTAGTTATATGGTATCTGTGCTACAGCAAGATGTTTCATTAATGTCGTCAACTCGAAATGATATGACTTGAAAAGCACAAGGCGTCTGACCGTCTACGATCAATAGCCCTTCATCAATCGGCCACGGTTAAAGGTCTGCGTGGGGTAGTCGCCTGGTACTGGTTGCAGGTCGTGGTATTTCCCCAAGAACTCCAGTTTTCTTCCACCACGAAAACCTGGCACATTCTTGATTGACCATAGCAGTATAAAGTACGTACAGCAATAACAAAAAACTATTCATGAATCTAAGCAGCAAAGTACCGGTCAAACATATCTAAACATGTGTGTTCTCTTGATATAGTCTAGCTTGTCTTAAAAAATGTCAAAAATGCAAGTAAATCTTGTGTTAATGGCTTGATGATATTAAGAAAAACTAGAAAATGTCTGTAAGACATAAATGCCGCCGCTGCCATGTGGAATTAGTTTCAGTGTTCTATAAAAAGTAACAACCATTTTGATCTTGATACCCTGAAACATGCACACATAAGGTACTACACTTAAAGTTGATTTTAATATCCATATGTTTGTTCTGTATGTTATTACCATCTCCATAACACATTGAATGAAGTTGATAAGTGTTTAAATTGAATCAGTAGATGATTTTCTATATATAGCAACAGTGACCTAGGCCTTGACCTTGGAACCCTGAAACACAACAATATCCGAAGTATACTCATACTTGACCTCTGCATAAAGTTTGACCAAAATCCATGAAGGAATGAAGTTGCTAAGTGTTTAAATTGAACCAGTTGATGATTTTCTATATATAACAAGTGTGACCTTGGCCTTGACCTTGGATCCCTGAAATACAACGATATCCGAAGTATACTCATACTTGACCTTTGTATAAAGTTTTACCAAAATCTGTTAAAGAATGAAGTTGCTAAGTATTTACATTGAATCGGGACGGGGCGCGACGCGACGCGACGGGACGGGACGGGACGGGACGGGGTAACACTATATTTATAACAATTATGACACAAGTTATTCAGACTTCAATGTATCATTCGTGTTGGCGCAGAGGTCTTAATGTGAGAGGAAACCGGAGTACCCGGAGAAAGACCACGTCGGCAAGCAAGAGACCAATTACTTTTCCTGATCCGATCGGGGTATCAAACCTCGAATGTCTTGGAGGAAGGCGAGTGCGATATCCTCTGCGCCCCCAGGTGACACCACCCTAGTCCTATGGGTTCAACTGTAATTGTAGACAGATAGTCTCCAACACAGGTTAAACTGTTATTGTAGACACGACATACGGCTAGTGCAAGTATTGACAAATGTGTGTGGTAGAGACCTAGATTCATTGCGAGTATGTACTAGTATGTGTATTAATTGCCTGGAGAAGGTTAGTACGAGTTGAGACTGTCGTCTGCAGTGATGATCAGTATTTATAATAGCGATACTTTGTACAGGGCTTGTATGAGTATTAATAATATTTGCAGAGACGAAGTAATTTATGAAGAGTGTGGACGATTTGACGCAGAGGCAAACTATGGCTAGTGCAAGTATGGACTAATATTGGCTCATGTCTACCTGAGGCAGATATGAGTAGGTATTAATAGCCGTTATTTCGACCTGGGGCTAATACCGGTATGGACCAGTATATTAAATGATGGTTTACGGCAAATACAAATAAGAACTAGTGTGCCATATTATGCTTTGGACAAACACGAGTAAGGACAAGACTGTTTTATTTATTAAGAGTATCGTTGAACAAATTACATGCAAAATCTAGGTTCCTGACAGTTTAGAGTCTCAAATTTCGAATTTTCCCTTTTTTCTTTAAAATATTCAGAGCTATTCGCGTTGCCATTGATTCTTCCATATACATGTATATGTCATAATATCATATCTAGTTACCCATCCCCTCAAACACCCACCCCAACCACAAATATAAAAATGATGAAAACAGTGAAGTGGGGATATATGTCCACTTCGAACATATATAACAATGATATAAAACATAAACGTGTGTTTGACATAAACCGTACCTCTATTATCTATAGTGTCAATGTCGGGTAACAATCCCGATATTGCCACAGCGAATACAATAGTACCAGATATTCAGCTGCAGATATCAAATGACTGCCAGCTGGACATCTTAGCTAAAACTGCACTAAAACATCCAGATTTAATCCTAATTATCCACATTCGATAATTTTAGTTCGTTTTAATTAGTGTTCATTGTTGTAGTATGCGGGAGAGGGCAGGGGGAATAACATCGTTGCTATTTATAGTTATGCACGAGATAACATAACAAAACATGAAAATGAAAAATATACTTTGAATACAAGTTTGCTTTAAACACTTCAGACGCCCCAACCCTTCCCAATCCTTGCCAGATCCCCTGAACCCTTCTTTACCAACTTTTTCCCAACTCTTCCTCGCCCACTCTACCCAAACCCGTCACCCCTAAACACATACACACACCAAACCCACCCGCCATCCCTAAACAAATACACACACCAAGCCCAACCGCCACCCCTAAACACATACACACCCAACAAACCCACCCGCCACCCCTAAACACATACACACCTACCAAACCCACCCGCCACCCATAAACACATACACACACACCAAACCCACCCGCCACCCATAAACACATACACACACACCAAACCCGTCCGAACATTTCGCCAAAACAATTGCCTTGTTATTGCCCATGTAATATAACAAGACCATCGATAATATTAATCATATAAAATACTCCGTGCGATTAAAACGCCATGTGTTAATCATTTTTATATTTATATATGTGGCAAGTCTTGCCGGGTATCAAATGGTAAAACTATTAAGACTGTTACAGCTGTTAAAAACCTAGGGGTATACTTTGACAGTTCTCTGAACATGGAGAAACAAGTGAACGCTTTTGCCAAATACTGTTACTACCAGATCAGGAACATCGGCTGTATTCGGCAGTTTCTAACTGCAGATGCGTGCAAGATTTTGGTGCATTCACTTGTTACCTCTCGGTTGGATTATGGTAACGCCCTGCTCTGTGGTATATCTGACAAACTAACTAGTCGTCTGCAGAGGTTCCAGAACACTGCAGCACGGCTAGTTACTCGTCCTCGAAAGAGAGAGCACATCACACCTGCGCTTTATTCGTTGCACTGATTACCTGTACGATATAGGTCGGAGCACAACATTCTGGTATACACATACAAGGCACTGAATGGAACAGCTCATCAGTACCTACAGGAGCTTGTTACCCTGTATCAGCCGTCAAGATCACTGCGGTCGCAGTCAGAATCTTTGTTGTGTGTCCCAAAATATCGTACTGTGACCTACGGAAACAGATGCTTTGGGAGGGTTTCGGCTACGTTGTGGAATAGCTTACCATCTGGTATTAGGAAGTCAAATACCCTGGCCAAGTTCAAGAGAGACATACAAACTCACCTCTTCACGTATGCATTTTAGAATCTTTGCAAAGACGTCATATAAATACCACCCTTTTATTTGTTCAATTATGTGCACATTGCTTGTTAAATGTATGAAAGTGATTGCAAGCCTTTGTTGTTTGTTTTCACAATTATAACCATTACTATTATCCATATGTTGTCAAGCGCCTTAGAGTAATTTTACAAATTATATAGGGCGCTATATAAATGTTGTATATTGTTATTATTAGTATTAATGCATCGTAAACAAGACGACGACCGACCAAATGCTTGGATTATCAAGACAGTGTAATGAGAATGATCACCTAATTACCTGATTGACTGGTTACTGGAATCGAGCTGACATATATTTGTTTAAATGTTATCAAAGTTGATTTACTATTATTCACGATCTTGTCTAGTTTTATCAGTTCTTGTATCCTAAGTTTTGGCNCGTCGTAAACAAGACGACGACCGACCAAATGCTTGGATTATCAAGACAGTGTAATGAGAATGATTCACCTAATTACCTGATTGACTGGTTACTGGAATCGAGCTGACATATATTTGTTTAAATGTTATCAAAGTTGATTTACTATTATACACGATCTTGTCTAGTTTTATCAGTTCTTGTATCCTAAGTTTTGGCACAGTTTTAGTTGTCTCATTGGTCTTGTCCCATGTGTCACAGAATTAAATACTGTTTTTGTAATTTTATGTTTGTTAGATTGGCGTTCAGTTCTTCATCATCATTTTCCTGTTTGTGGACTTGAGTAAGTCTTTTATGTGTGTATCATATCTAGTCATCTTTATGACATTGACTTGAATAGTAAGCCTTGCTCAAGTAAATGTATCGTTAAACAAATTATTGTTTGTTAGCAAGTGTAATTTGTGAGTGCCATTGCATTTAGTAGTTAACAGCGTATTTCAATACATCAATGTCTTGTTCAATAAATTGATTGATTTGTTAATGCATCAGAACTCTAGCAATGAATCTACGTAGTCGTTGTCCGAATCAAAGATCAAAAACCTGTGATGAGTTGGAATATTTCGTGGAAGAGAGGGGAAGCTACAAATCATCACATTAATAACCCAGATGCATTCCGTCTGCAAAGTAAAAACAAAATGTCATCTGTGGAAAAGTATATTCCCCAGTCGTTCTTGTGACATTGAAATATCAGTTCGCGATAAGAAGAGGATAATTCTTTTATACCTCACGGCATTACTTCAAACATTTACATATACTGGTCCATAAACAATCCCATGCATGTGTACTCAGTCTGTGTGGTAATGGCTGTACACTATTACGTAACATTACATGTAAATGGAGCAGGCACTTCTGTACCAAACAACAATCACATTGGCGTCCATTTTTTATCATATTTAACATACCATGATACAATCCTACACACTTCACACACGTATTACTCACTTTTCACAGTTCTCCTTTCTTCTCCAATTTCTTTGTGATTTTATATTCACGTTAATGTGTATACTGATAACTATTTACCAGCGTTTGTGTTTGTGTCTATGTGTGTGTGAACGTATTGGCACACATGTTTTCTTAGCGTACGGTGTGTTTGTGTTGCAGATTTTTAAAGCAACATGTTTTGTAGTTACTTCGTGATATGATATATTTGTAAAAAATCTTCATTTTTTACCATTCCGTTCTCGTCAAACGCTGGTATTACATGTGGATAGTTTGCTAAAGATAATAAACAGGTGATAAAATCACCAATGAAAGATTTGCAAAGTTAAAAACCTTATGTAAAACGTATGTAACTGAAGAAAAATATTGCAATTTGGAGAAAATATTTAAATTTAAAATATTCTTTTTTATTTATAAAATATATACAACACAAAAGTTTGCAGCATAATTTGCTTCCACACAAAAACGACAGATATGGTCAAATCATGAATAGGTGTTTACTAATTACATTCAATTTAACTAAACCGAACAAAATTCAAGAAAATATCAGTTCATTGAAAATAAATTGAATGAATTTTGTTAACATTACTCTCAAAGTACGTCTGTCAGCAATAAGTAATAAGTAATTTATAAAATCGGTGGTTCAACATCAGTGAACGAAATAAATAAAAATGTCTTCTTTATTTTGAAATGTGTATTATGAGTTATCTCTCATTTTTGAAAATTGTTAAAAAAAAAAAGGAATACACAGATTAGAAATTAGAAGAAACAAAACGCCTTTGTGGTATAGGAAACCCACTATATTCATTACTATGATATTTATAAGTCACCGTTAGTTACATGACGTCGTCGATCGTTACTGTAATAAATAGAAGTTAACAATCTTAGTATTGTCATCTGTTACGTACAATCCAAATATTTGTCACATGGTTTCTGTTGTTAACGATAACATGAAAATCAGTGATAACATGAAGTGTATTTTTGAAAACATGAAGATGGTCAATTGTAATAGACAAACCAAAACATGAAATGTCTGTCTTGTACATTCTACTTTGCCATGAATACATGTAGAACAAATGCTGTCACTAGTGTTAAAAAATGTATGAAACAAAGATGTGCAAAATAATCTATGAATGTAAAGCCAATTGTTTGCAAATGATCCCAAAGGAGAAATATCAGACTATAACTGTCATTCAAAGAATGTCATTTACTACTTAGTATGTAAACATTGTGAAGAATTTTATTTCGGAAAACCTTGTTTACATGAACAACAAATGAGAGACGAGGAGTTAAGATATCTAAGAGTTGAAATTAAATGACAGACTGGTATGAGTCTAGTCTGGTGTTATACAAAGCTTTCAGATTTTACTCTTTGGATAAAATAGCTAGATCATTCCAAACTCCTTTCTTTATGTAACAGTTTTTAAGTATGACCTACCCACGACACTCCCTATAACCCTCGGAATATGAACGTAAGACACACACACATGAATCCCACCTTTACACTTTGGTAATAGGTATATTATACAAAAAATGAATTACACTGAGTCCCAAAAAGTGGCAATCCAAAGTTATCATTTAGATGAAAACATACTTTTAAGTTTTAAGCAACTTTTTCATTCATGACCTTACATTCTCTATAAAACTATACATCGTTTAATTTGCTTGACACTCAATGCAATTGAAATATCATGTGAAACCTTTATATTTGTAATTATTGTAGTATTCTGTGGTAATTAGGTCATGTGACATGTAATCTGTACAAAACGTACAACAAGCTAAGTTTATGGTGTAAATAGTCCCCTGTGACTTATATTTTGGTGACATAACATTGCTGACCGTTCAGGCTGGATGTGTTGCATTCATAGCACTATTTTGAAGCAATGCTTTATCATAAATATAACTATAATCAACGTACCTGGTAGTGAAGCTGAGGAGAAGTCTTCTAGGTAGGCGGGTCGAATGAACCATCTAACGGTTTAACGTCTGGAGTACTATATCAACAATTAAGGGATGCATTATAATTGGTATCTCGTGTGTTAGACGATGACCCAATTATGACCAGCCGCGCTGACAAAAACTACACCGGAACATATCTTAAGTAAATAATTATTACACAAACATATATCAAGTACTTGCATCAATGATGCAGATATGGTTGCTCTACTGAACGCATGATACAGATGCTGAGCTTTACTGACATATTATGCTTAAATGACTTTCGTACTACTACCTTATATATCATATAATATATTGAGACGAAGAATTGTTTATTACATATCTGGGTACCTATAAGTGTATAGGAATGCCCTATAGATGTTGCAGATGCTGAATATGACCTACATTTAACGTTTGTGTTACTTGGTTAAGAAGAATTGTATTAGGTTTATGAGAATTGTTTTTATTTTATCCATATAAGTGCAGTTTACTTTTGTAATTAAACAGTTTATCATCTTTTAGCGACATTAAAATACAAAAATACAATGAGAAAATTGTGCCAGCAAAGCCATAAAACGAACTCGCAATCGATGAAACTATGGCAAAATAAGAACTAAGAAAAACATGTCAAGAACAGGTGTTCCAGAAGGGTAAGCTTTTGCACAACATCTGGCATGTACACCAATTTCAATTGATTATTAAAAGTCAGGCTACATTTACATGTGTTATGTACATACAATAAGACTTGGTACTAAGTAATGTTTTGCCGTTTCTTTGTTTCCCGTTTTGTGTGTTGAATAAACTTTATTATGAATTGAGTTGTTGTTCGCCAATCAGGGCGATGCACCAACATGTCTCCTCAAGCACACACGCATACATCACACACATTGAAGCACGTCCTTAAATGACATCAGTGCTCAATAGTATGCTCATGTTCTTTGATTAAAATAAGACATTATTTCAGTAACTCTACCATACACGGTTGGTTCAGTTTTCTGCCGAGATCTCACAGACTGTAATTTATGTAACAAACAGTTGGGGAAGTTCTTTTTTTGAACAGCGTTGACAATGCTCCCAACGACGGCTTCTACAACTTGAATAAACTGATATAATGATTTTTTTGTGTGAAGATATATGTAAATATGTTATAGACAGAATAAACTCTACACAATGAGTAATAGGTAAGCGAATCCGTCTCATGTAACACACCGGGTTACAGTCAAGCGCTTACTAATGAGACATGTACGATTATAGGCAAGGATGTATCCTGACAGGTTCACTGTTGTGGCTATCGGCACGTTCAACAGAGAACGATACGATGGCCGATAGCGGCCGACAGAACACTCCTATTAGTCAAAAGTGTTCTGTCTGACATTTTGTCGAATCAAAAGAGGCCAGTTTACACATTTTGTAAAATGTGTAAACTGCTATGACACTTTGTCAATTCATGCAGGACAGTTTACACTTTTTACTTTAACAAAATTAACATTGAGGATAAGGGAGGGAAAGAAGGGAGTGAAAGTAGGATTATATTACAAAAGCTGAGAAGAATGTCTAAAGGGCCTGTCACACTTAGCTGATTTGGGTCGCCGGAGCCAAACCGGGGCAAAAAATTGGCGATTTTCGGGGATCGGTACTAGTACGGCAGCGCAACAGTAACACATTATTAATAACAGTAGTAAATCGTCAGGACATCGTCAGAACATCGGCGAAAAACTTAGCAACGGCAGACGACGGTAGAAATCTTTGAACTAGCGCCCAGTAATGGAGCGGCAGCTCTTCGGTGGCCTCAATGTGTACCGTACTGGTACCGATGTGATACCGTAGTACTACCGAATACCACCGAAGTAGTACTGATGTCTCGGTATAACATAGGCGGCGCATCGGTAACACTAAGGCGACAGAAAAGTGGTATTCGGTAGCACATCGCCTCTTACATCGTTAGGACAACGGTAGAACAACGGTATTACAACGGGAACGCCGGTACTGCATCGGTATTTGCTACGGTCAATCTTTTAAGTGCTTTAACGCTGGAGCTCTGCCGTTGTTAATATTTTGCTTCGGTTTAGTATCAGGCGATAGCGCGACATTGATATATTGTAAAGCCAACGATATGAGAAAAACAAGTAGGAGACAGCAGCAATGGTTAAATGCATATGTTGTTCTGATGTTGATATAGCCTCACAACATAATATATTACCGCAAATTATACAGACAATGACCATTCTTTTATATATGCCTGTTTAATTTACACGTTTCCAAAAAGAGAAATCGTATTATTTTGGATGTTTTAGCTTATTTTGAAAACAGCAAATTATATTTGTGATTTACCCTACCAAATTTGATACCCCAAAAACTCACTTTCAGTAGTATAGAGCGATTGTTTATACGGCGGGGGTGGCTCCGCCCAGTTTCGATCGTCCCCCAATCAGAACCCTCTGTCGTGTATATAAACCGACAACAATACGCTCTCGGGTCCGAGTCGTGCATGACGTTCGACCCGTTCCTGGCCTGGTCCGCGATGAAGAGTTGTGACTGCCGATCCACGACGTTCCACTTCTTTTGGTGCAGCACCGTGTCGAGATACCTCTTGTAAGGGTAGTTGCTTCCCAGTGAGGAGACCGACGTTTGCTGCAAGGAGCAATCAACTTGAGAGAACATCGTGTGGACCCCGGTCCCCGGTCGTCAAACGACACGATATCTTGATGCGACTGTTCTTCAAGTCCATGTAAGCGTTGGACAGAGGAGGGACGTTTTTTTATTGATCGGTCGAAATTCGATCCATTCCTTTGCCGCTACCCCCGTATTGACGGTGGGAGGTTCGAAGAGGTTGAGTGGTTCGACGTGATCCTCCTCCATCTCAGTCCAGTTGCGTGTCGGCGACTCTCTTCCCTCTTCTTATAGTTTGTTTACGCCGCAACTCTGCGCGGGCCATCTCCACGGCCTGAGCCACGGGGGTAACCATCTTGATGTTGGGGGTGTCGGTCGTCTTCCGATGATTAGACCCGCTTCCGACGACGTAGCGTCCTTTGTGGTAGGCCTTGGCTCGTCCCTCAGCCATGTCTTCCACGTGACGCATCGACTTGTCGTATTCGGGTACGTAAGACACCCATCTCAGCTGTTTGAAATCAAACATCTCCGTCACGACCATCGCCGTGCTTTCCTCAAGTGTAACGTGCAAGAAAACGGGCGAGCTCCGA